GCTTTTACCCCGATCTCCCTGGGCTCTACTGCGCTGTACTGCGCTTTTACCCCGATCTCCCCGGGCTGTACTGCGCTGTACTGTGCTTCTACCCCGATCTCCCCGGGCTGTACTGCGCTGTACTGCGCCTTTACCCCGATCTCCCCTGCTGCACTGCGCTGTACCGTGTTGCGCCAGGGCAGTACTCACTCCTTGACCTCCTTGGCGCTGAAGTCCAGGTAGCGGTTGCTGATCCACTGCACCTCGAACCAGTCCTTGAAGTTGGAGTTGCCGCAGCACTGGAACTCCATCTGCAGCCGGTCGATGGTCTGCTTCTGGAAGCAGCGGCCGGGCGTGTCGGTGTCCTTGTAGAAGCGGATGCCGTTCTTCAGGCCGATCTTGAGCGACTCCTCCAGGTTGCCCTTCATGGCGTAGCTCATGACGACGGCCACCAGCATGAGGAGTGTGAAGAGCAGCGCCGTGGCGAAGAACGGCGGCAGCAGGGCCTTCCAGCGCGGGAAGCGGGCGGCGTCCAGCGAGTCCTGGCAGATGCGGCCGGAGAAGAAGTTGATGCCCAGCGAGGCCAGGCCCACCACCATGAGCGTGTTGGGCACGGCGTGGATCTCGGCGTTGTCCATGACCTCGCTGCGGCGGCGCAGCTCGGTCTTGAGGAAGACGCCCAGCGCGAAGGTGAAGGCGCCGGCCATGGTGGCCAGCCAGGACAGCAGCCACAGCCCCTGCGCCAGGCGCACGCGGCGCTGGAACGGGAACTTCACCTTCATCAGCACCATGGCGGACGCGGGGCCGGGAGAGGGAGGCAGAGGGCGGCGCGGAGCTCCGATCCGGAAACCTGGTGCGGACAAGCGCTCTGGTCCTCTGCGGCGGCTCTTCGGTCCTGCCCGAGCTCACCCTTCGTGGTCCGGGAACGCCGAGGGGGCGTGCAGCGGGAGGGAGGGGGGGGGGGTGTTCTGTACCCCAGAAACCTCACGGGCCGGTTACAACGAGCGTGCGTCTTCCGAGCGGCGCGGTGTGTGAGCCCCTGTGCCCGGGCGAAGTCTTTGCCCACCCCTCGGCCAGCGCTCCGAGCTCCTTACCGCTAATCCCACTAGGAGCTGCCCGATCCCATTACTGCCCCCCGGCCCCCGGCCAATAGGAAAGCAGGCCAGTGTGTGGTCAGCAGCCTGCGCCTCACCCAGGGGGCAGCAGAAGGTGACAGCGAGAGGGAGCTAAGCCCCTTACACTGGCTAATTACAGGCTCGTTAGGGACACCGCGGGCATGATCCGCAGGAGGGGGGGAAGAGGAGTGGAGATAGGGGGAGAGAGAGGAGAGGAGGAGAGAGGAGTGGAGAGAGGAGTGAAGATGGGGAGAGAGAAAGATAGAGGAGTGGAAAGAGGAGTGAAGATGAGGAGAGAGAGAGAAGAGAGAGAGGAGTGAAGATGGGGAGAGAGAGAGGAGAGGAGTGAAGATGAGGAGAGAGAGAGGAGAGGCGTGAAGGAGAGGAGAGAGAGGAGAGTGTAGATGAGGAGAGAGGAGTGAAGATGGGGGGAGAGAGAGGAGAGAGAGAGGAGTGAAGATGAGGAGAGAGAGAGGAGAGGAGTGAAGATGAGGAGAGAGAGAGGAGAGGCGTGAAGATGAGGAGAGAGAGGAGAGAGAGGAGTGTAGATGAGGAGAGAGGAGTGAAAAAAATGAGAGAGGAGTGGAGATGGGGAGAGAGAGGAGAGTGTAGATGAGGAGAGAGGAGAGAGGAGTGAAGATGGGGAGAGAGGAGTGTAAACAGGGAGAGAGAGGAGAGGAGGAGAGAGGAGTGTAAAGGGAGAGAGAGGAGTTTAGATGAGGAGAGAGGAGAGAGAGAGGGGGAGAGGGGAGTGGAGAGGGGGAGAGGCCCAGACACCCTGCTGGACTGTCCACTCGGCCGTGTCCAGCTCTCTCCAGCCCAGGGGAGATTACCGACGCACTTCAGACACTTACAGGCTTATCCTGGAATTAGAGCATCAAGGCTTTGAGAAGTGGAGACGTCTG